TAATGTCTTAAATGGAATATCAGCTCTTTTTAATCCATTTTTTCCACTTTTAATCTCATTTTAACTCTTTAAAGTTCATTTTTGTTTTATGAAAAGTATACAATGAGACCATTTATCTTTGGTACAAGGTGGTCATAATTAATCTTGACCATTGGATATAAAATATGATGGCTACATTTATTCCATTAAGCTCAAAGTTCAAAAGAAATTTTCTCAAAATTTGATATATATCCAAGCAATCAAATATCACATCCAATGGTTGTAAGTAATTGTAACTTCTTTGTGTCAAAGGTAAATAATCTCATTATATACAATCCTTTGTTTTATTTTACTTTTATAAACTTTTTTAATCAAATTCTCTTACTTCCTGAGTTTTTTTTTTTTTTTTACTTAGCCAAGGAACTAGCTTAATTCAAGAGGCGAGTCCCCACACAATAGGTATATATATTCCGGCGATTATGATAGCCTAAGAAGATGGGCCTAACAAAATAACGTCTTCTTCTGTCCTTTTTTTTTTTTTCTTTTTTTTTTGGTGAATCAATGGGGATGATGGCCCCTACCCATTTTATTAATGGAATACCAAAAGATGTAAACATTTACAATAATTTTACACCCCTTTTGAGGGGAACATTAGCAACATCATATAATAAAGGATCTAGATTATCTGGGAGCGAGCACAACATAACGTTTAGCTTCTGTCATGGATGTTGCCCGCTTTGCTAGATGATCAGCAACCATATTGGCCTTCAAGTATATATGGAAAATCTGTCACTGGTGATTGGCATAGGGTAGGCTTACCCAACAGTTAGCTAAAACTATACGCAACTTCCATGCATGCTTACGACTTTGTTTTAAGGATTCTACAAGCAATTTCTATGATGAGAGGTTTGCAATTGAGTTCTTTTGCAAGAAAGATGCCCCAGTTCAAAGCATGGAAGTTGATAATATTGATGAAATTGAGACCTAAGGGAATTGCAAAGGCAAATATAAAACCACCTTCATTACTCCCTATGATGCCTCAGCAATTAGCAGTTGGGATTATGGATGAAAGAACCATCTATATTGGGCTTGAAGTGGCAAGCACGGGGAATGCAATTTGAGGTTGCAGTAAGAGAAGGCTCAACATTTGAGGTTGTTTGGTAATGTTGAGGCCTAATCCGTCCCCTTTGCAAGCAAACCGACGTAATGGATGCTTTGCTTCAAATGATCTTCACTGACTTGGGCAGAAAATGACTACTTCTTCTTCTACCTTAATTACATTTTACCTTAACTTCCATATATTTGATCATTGGAGAAGCCTTGAATGTTGTATTTAAGATATATGGTTCGCTTCCAGCAAATGCTTTTTATTCATTGAGCAAATAAATACAGTGACCTACTCTACAATTACAAACAGATCTTCATTGTCCCTTAAATCTCATGAAAGAATATTCCAAGACTTGCACCAAAACTGTATTTTCCTTAATGTGGTTCTTTCCTCTTATATTTGCGTTTTCTTTCGATGAAAAAAGAGAAACTTTTGCTTTAATATACTATATAAGTTCATTATGTGAAATTTTCCATTTCTTTTTTCCCTCGATATGTGATAATTCATTAAGGATAGGAAAAAACAGAAGGGAGCATTGCAGCTGGAATCGCGGAGAACGAATAATAATTATTACAATATAATAAATGGGAGAAAGAGAAGGAAGTCGTCCAAACTTCCTCCTCTTTATACCCTTTTTGGGATAAATTGCCCTTTGAAAACCCTAGTGCTCAGTCATCCCATTCCATCTTTAGGATGTCATAAAAATATCTTAACTTATACAATTATGGGATTATTGACAAGCATGACTATCCAAGTTCCAACAAAAATGCACATCTTTCTCATGACATCGTCGTCCGCAACAGCCACTCTCTCTCTCTAGAGACGCGGTTTTCTACAATCTTTCTCTCTCTCTAAACATAATTAGAGTGATTGCAGTGTCCAAGAATGTGCAATCGCTGGGGCATTGGTATTTAGGGTGGGCAATCGGGTTGGGTCTCCCCGCCGACCCTGTGGGTTGACCCTAACCATTGTCCGAGTCGTGATCCATGTTTTGGATCCACTGGTTAAAATAACTTGGATCCATCCTAGGTTGGGTCTGGGACGGGGTCCAATATGGATCCTATCGGATCAGCTGGAGTACAGGGTTAGGTAGGTCAGATTCGACTGAAACAACCCGAACCGACGTGACATAAAATGCAAAATATATACTACACAATATATGAAGTAAATATTTTTATTTTTTAATTTATAGAGCCAAATCCAGGTCCATGTGAAACTTAATTGGGTCAGGTCTGGACCAAGGTCGACTCGAACCCCACCCGACCCAACCTTTTGCCACCCCTATCGGTTTTGGTTCACCTAGTCCAATTGGTATATAGACATTAAAAAAAAAAAAAAAGCCCAGGAGAGGCTATACAAAAATATCATTTTTAAATCTATTTCACCCCAATAATATAGACAATATAGGCTATACAATCTTACTTCTACGAGTATCGATACAAGCTTATATAAACTATTTTTCTTAAATCGTACTCAACATCCCGCAATGTCAAAATACCCCCATTAAGTTCTGAAATTGACATTAAAAATAAAATAAAATAAAAATATACCATCCAGCTAAGTCCCATAGTCTTATTATTGAGGAGTCCAACACGGTCATATTGGTCCTCTAGGTGCAATGGATTATTTTTTGTGGTTTGTGGCTGTCTGGGGCATATTTTTCTTATTTTAAATTTCTTGGTTCCAATAATTAAAAGAAGACTAACTTGAAAATTGAAACATTGTTGAGTAGTAAACAAGGAGGGGTGGATACCGTTCCACCAGGGAAGCTATCCATCCCACAACAAAAAGCACTTCATGACAACTTTACGTCGCTGTTCCATGACCTGAAAGAATGAAATTACAAATTCGTCCCTCCTAGGTATACCCTATCATCAAAAAATATCTCATATACGCATAATTTAAACTCCACCCTTATCCATTGAAGCTAGGGAGCAATTTTTAGGAAAACTAGAAGAAAGGCATAGTGTACAGCAGTGTTCAAAACAACAGATCCGGCCGACTTGTCGGTCCTGGCCCGATCTGATTAGTCCGACCGATTTCGACTAGATCAGTCGATTAGTGCTTCAATTTTTTTAAAAAAATATAATTTTGATAAAAAAAATTCCAAAAAACTTAAAAAATCATAAAACAAATCCCAAAAAATTGGAAAAAATGTTTAAAATTTACATTTATTGTTTTTATTAAAAAAGCAAAAAAAAATATTGTAAGCATAATTGGGTTTCAGAGAAAATGATTAGGCACATGAAGCAATATATTTTCTGTAATCAATATATGATAAATATGTATTAATATTATATTATATATAATATAGTAATACAATATATACTATAATAATATAGTCGTGGAGCAAGGCACG